CACGGCATCACACCTCACACACACATAACTAAACAGAAAACAAGAGGGGCCCTAGATAATACCTTAACCTCGACATAATAATCCGAGGCCACGAGAAGATACTCGTAATCCACAAGATAATACCCGGAATTTTAAGATAATACCCGAACTCTTTAAGATAATACATAGGAATCCCAAGATAATACCAGGAATCCTTAGGATAATACCAGGAATCCTTAAGATAATACCTGAATCCTTAAGATAATACTCAGGAATCATTAAGATAATACCGAATCCTTAAGATAATACCAGGAAAACTTAAGATAATACCTGAACTTTTAAGATAACACCAGGAATATTAAGATAATACCAGGAATCCTTAAGATAATACCCGAATCTTTAAGATAATACTCCGAATCCCTAAGATAATACCAGGAAGCCAGGAACTTATTATTATTATCTGAAGGCCATGGGATAAACCTGGACTAAATAATTCCTCGGAAATAATGACAAATATATTTGATAAGGCAATGAAAGGAGAAACATTATATTCCAGGTAATGAAGCTAATACTGCAAACATTTACGTTTATGCAAGTAAAATGTCGGAGATAAATTATTATTTTAAGATTATCCCTGATACCGGTAGAATATTAAATCGATCGGTGACTGAATATTATCTGGAAACACATAACACTGTTAAATCTTGACTACGAGTCGTGACCTTTATATATGACCTTGAAGCAACAATAATATATGCGTATACAGCATTTGTTGGCATCAAATCTTCCATAGTTCCATGCTACAGGCGACGAGTGCAATTATCATCGGATTCATATAATCATCATATAACCTTCAAACGAGTAAAACTTGAAATTGTTCTGTTTTCCCATTAATATGCATAGGTGAAAAAACATTAGAAAAGTACATGTAAGGTGCGTAAAACACAACGACTTCAGAATACACCTGTAAAAAATATGTAATATGTTGGCGTAAGTTTTCATTTTTCATCTTGATCCGACAGCTCAGAAAAAATATGTTAACAACATTGTACCTATCGTTTTCGTGTATATATTCTGTAATGAACTAATTTTGAATTCTTCCTTCCAACTTTGCAACTAGCGATCTGGTGTGTTCAGTTTAGCCGACAGAGCTTTATCCAGTAATCGAGAACTAAATCCAACCAAGCATCCCTTTGTCCAGAAGACGTCACTTATAGGAAATCAAAATGAAAAATGTAAATATCTGCAGGATTGATACTTCAGCTTACACTCACAACACCTATCTTGCTAAATGTGTACCAAAGAATTGTCTGTAGCGCAATATTCCACTTTACCCCTGCTGGCCTTGAAGTCTGCTTCTATGCCTGTGTAACGGAAAAGCCTGGTCTCGGGCGTAGATAATGCGGGCGGCGGTCTTTAGATTACACCTTTGTCGTGCGACGCCTGCATTAAGCATAGCCGCCAGTATGGATAAGCGGTCCCAAACCCACCCAACAGCCTTATCTCAACCGACGTCTCTTTGTCCAGCCATTGAAGAAGTAATGCAAGGACTGTTTTCCGAATCTTGTCTCTCGTGAAATAGATGAAACAGTCAACAGGGTTTTTGATGAAGTTTTCATCCGATAGTATCTTCTACAACCAGAAAGCGGCTTTACAAGGCCACAATGTTTTCATGTATATGGTATATTTGTTCTGCTTACGCTGCCTGCTGCGTGGAGTCAGAGAGCTCCTTCAACATGGGATGCGTGTGAATGCAGCTGGATGCCTGGCAAGAATGTCAGAAATGCCCAAAAGCCTGCTACGGAGGCAGGTGAGGGAGAGGAAAGTCGGTGCGTTGACAGTTGTGGGACATTTGAACACTGTGATGGTGGAGCTGGCGGCCTATGACTACCAAGACTGTAACACCCCACTGTACCTTACGGTTCGTAACGACTCCTCCTACGGCGGATGCAGGTGCCCGGCGGTGAAGATACGGAACATGCTGTGATATCGGTAAAGTTATTGAACTAATCACATGTCTGTATTTCCATCCCTCTGTTTTGCTGGATTAGTAAATCGACCTGTATGGCAACCTCGTGGCCCTGCCTGTCTGTACTCACCCGTTGGTAATATCCCCCCACGCAGGTCGGGGAATGTTTGTATAATGACACAGTACTTACCTAAGATATTTATCAGTCTTCAGTAACCCATGTTTGTCGCGGACTAACGGGATCGGGTGGTCAGGCTAATAATGTGTGTGCCCGTATCCTGTGCTGCTGGGATCGATGCTTGCGCTGTTGATCACTGGATTCGTTCTGGTCCAGACTCGATTATTTCCAGTCCGCTGCCATCTATTCTAACTGGGTTTCTTCATGGTCACGAAGTAGCATAATTGGTCTTTCTTTCCGGGTAAATGTCGGTGCACGTGTAGTGGGTGAATGACCCTTTACTTTAAAAGCCGGCATAAAAAAGTCCCTCCAATGTCCTTAAATTAAATTTACATCGTTTCCTTTAACAAATTTCGTAGATGAAGGAAAACCTGATCTAGAGCCAGTGCGTTACGTAATATATGCCGATGACAGTATATGTAGTCTGGGTACATGCAGTTAAGTTCTGCTGAATGCAAGCAGCGGATATCGACCAATATGAACGTATTTTGTCATGTTCCTCTCTCAGTAATTCATTACTCATACAAACGTTCTCTCAAAGTATTTTCTATTTTACCTCATATATATAACAAACCCTTATATGTCTTCTTTATTCACATAACGCTATTGTCTTTCTGAAAGCTTTGTTACCCGTCGCACGCCACAAACAACGTCTAACGGTGCTCTCACCGTCAGCAACATCTGCTACAACTACGGGCAGGCTACACGTGCAGCGACGGATACAACATAACTGGATCGGCCACAAATGACGTGTTCAACATACAGCAGCTACTCCACATATATGGCTACTGGACAGGGTCTACGCCAAGGTGCCCATGTAAGTCATGACTCGTTAATAAAATTATCATGGTACAGCAAAAGTTATTGCTGCAGTACTGAAGTATTGTTATTGCTGGCAACATTGCCGTCGGACTTACCAAGGCATAGAATATTGAAATGCAGATTTAACCTTATTGAAACAGACCTTTAACTTTAATGTTGAATCTTTAGACCTTTAATAATGGTATTTTATCCATATGGTGAAACATAACCAGTGTCATATATACCATATGTGCACATGCGTACATATGACTTTGTCAAGCAACCATTGTTTCTGTATTTCGTCATCTCAGGACGTCATTAAACAGTTAACGTGACATCAGTGAACAGGGCAGTCATCACTTGCTTTACCGTGTTTTACTGCACATATGTACATGAATAAAATGGATTAAAAGAAATTATTACACTTCGGCAAGGTGCTGCCACACGACTTATAATGAAATTCAAAGTGCAAATTGCGGTATTGCTCTCGAATGAAAGGAATTTCACACTCGTTCTGTGGTATAAGTCGTATGAAACACTCGTGTAATAATCCTCTATGTTCATACAGCGCATGGATCATCCTCCTTCAAAGGAACGTGCGCCTGAACGATGATACGATAAGTCGGATATGAAAAGCGAATGAGGTGAAAACAAACACTGGGACCAAATGCCACGGAACACTCTAACATAAAGAAAAGGTTTCCCATCAGTCATTCAGTACCTCTGTGTATGCGTCACCCTCTAGGGAATTATCTGAAACCGATCTCGGCCATTGATGCTATCTATTAGACACAGTAGCACACATATCCCAACACGAGCTGTATTCGACGTTCTGGGTGATTTCGACGATTGCATTGCTCGCGCTTATATCGGGTGAGTAGTTATTGCGATCGGAGTGAACAAAACAGTTTCACTGGTAGGGCGGGTGCCCAGCCGCTGTCGAGAAGTTTTATTGACAATGGAAATCGGGAAGTAAAGTTATATGAAAAACAAACAAACATCAATATTATTTACCTGAGATCGTTAATACCTTAATTTAAGATGCAAAATCAATTGCCTTTATAACAAATAATAGCAAGCGAAAATTCAGTAAGATCAGTCGTCTGCTGGTGACAGGCAATATATAAATAGGAAGCCACGTGATCACAACACTCCCTCGCAGTGCGGAGCAAAAAGTATGGCTCATCGTCGAAAACCCATACCAAAATACCCGGGTGTTACGAGCGCCCACTGTTTTCGCCGATACGATGTCATCAACGCTATATGTTTGGTGGAAACACTTGATATTTTGTGTGAAATAGATGAATATATCCTTTATCACCCGAGGTTAGTAAAATAAAACTTTAAATGATATTACAGATAAAAATTACGTTTTTGTCTTACATCGTCGAAAACCCCTGACACCGGGATATACATCAGCTATCGACACCTTTACTATAATGCAGTATTTGTTACCGAAAACATGTCACCTACACTTTGATGAACGACTAAGGGCTTCTTTTCCATTCTTCAAACTGCAAAGTAGAACTCAACGAGTGACATCCACTGAGTACAAACCTTGATACATCGGCACATTCTTCCAACGCCAGTTGGGATTAGGGTCTGGTGTGGCGTGGTCAGTATGACCATTAGGATGACCGCCAGAATGCTGTTGTACAGTGTCCATGGAAGGGTAGCTGAACAACTCAACCGAAAAATCGTACTGGTCGTGCTGTTTGGCAATCCTGGTCCATGGATGTGGAAAGGGGTTTGTTGTTTCTGTTGTGTATGAAGATGGTGAGGCTCGAATCCACCGTACACATATCGTAACTGAGTACCTGGAAAACATCCATAGAATACAATGACCAGCCAAAGTCCTGGCCCAGAGCACGGGTGGGCCTTGGTCGTTGAAACTGGGTCGTTATTGGGTCAGGTGTTGAGAGACAAGAGTTTATGAGACCCTTTCAAATTATATATCCGTTCGACCATGCCTCATAAGCAGATGCATGGCCAACGATGAGGTGTGTGGTTGGGTGTTGGACAGACAGTGTTTAGCCACCTGTCGTCTTTCTGTTTGCACCCAAAGAATACACCGTGAACATGTCTATTGCAATGTTACAACTGGTCCTACCTTTCGCTTGGCCATCCGTTACCAGTGCCCGCCAAACTCGCTGCAGTGACATTGTTATTCCTCGAATATCCCCTGATATAACGAAGCAGCTACAATACAGCAACACGCATTAAGTGATCATGGTATGTCTCGTTAAGTGTCTGGCATTTATGATACCCACCACATCAGAATATTTCAAGGCGTTCGTATAACGGTCACATTTGTTTTGTCTCCAGTCGCTGAATCCTGCAACAGCAACCCCTGCCAGAACGGAGGCACGTGTGTGAACGGCCTGGAGCTGTACACGTGTATGTGTCCACCTGGATGGTCAGGGGTCAACTGTGAAGAAGGTAGGACTTCCAACAAGTCTGGTCAAGTCCGGAAATTTGCCGCCATTGAATGCTAATAGCACCTCAAATCTGAAAAAACACGTTTTTCTCCCAAGTATTCTTCCCAAGACACAAAAGCGTGGAGTTGCATGTTGTTGAGTATGTATGACTGTTTATTCATTATATGTACTTTATATCTGATTTTTCAACCTTACAAATAGAAACCATATACACAATATTCCTGATGTTGCTCCAGACGTCCAGCCCCTGTAATGAGTGGCTGTGGAAACAGGACAGATCTCAATACAGCTGACCACGAACTGACCCACGAGTGGACAGTGCCAACCTTCACAGACCCACTTTATAACGAAGTCACTTCGACATCCAACTACGTCAGCAACTCCTACCGCTTCCCCTGGGGCGACTTCTTCGTCCAGTACGTGGCCACCAAGACAAACAAATGGTTTACAGAAGGAGTGCAAGTTTCAACTCAGCATTAGACGTAAGCCATAACATACGCCCACGCACGCGTGCACGCACACACACAAACATGAATGCATGAACATACATTCACGAACACACGCAAGTACGCACGCACGCTCGCACACACGTACACACTCACAGAGTCGGGAGTGGTCAATTAAGGTGACTAGTAGAATGGCATCCTGGCATCATGCCAGATCACGGGTTCACATCCCAGGGTCGCCGTATGACTGTCAGCACTATATCTGTACTCATGGGTTTACCACTGATGCGCATCTAAAGTCTGTACATTGCGGGAAGTCACGACACGTAAGGCTAACATGTCGTAATATGATATTATGGTATAGATACGTTAAACCAGAACCATGTGTATGTACATGTATTTACATTCGTTAGTAACTGCATTGTTAACGGTCGATATTGCGCGATGAATTGGCAGACACGTTAAATGATAAACCATGACATATTACATTATGAACAAAGGTCTGTGGGAGGATCGTTCTACTTCCTCCTCGCCACACAGCTACCTGTTGTCCTTTGTGAAAGAATGTACATAGGCAGTAGACCAAACACAACACATCAGATATGACAAATGCATTTATAATTTGTGTCATATCTCCCAGATCTTCATTTACGCCATCAGACACATTTCAATAGCTTGTTCTACCTGTCCTCATAGCTCATTGTTCTTGTTTGAATGGCCGGTAGGATAATTCTCATGGGTTTGGTAACAACCTGACCTCTGGGTTAAGCCTGAGAAATGTATTCATTGAGGAGTAATCCAGGCATATGACGTCGGACTGTAATTTCTGTTGTCTGAACAGTGATATATTGTCTGAACAGTCTGAACAGAGACCCAGGTCGTCCTTGTACAGAGACATGCTGTCTGCATGACACAAAGTCTGGCCACCGATCCATTCATCCTCTTCTTACAATCAGGTTATGTTGTTTTGGGATCCGTTTAACATTGCTACTTCTTGCAAGTATTTGTTAAAACTCACAAATATACTCATGCCAATAATTGTTGTCACCCACCACCCCCTCCCATCCCCCAACCCCCACACCTCACACCCCACCCTCTCAATTAAAAACATTTTAAGGGGTGACAACCATTATTGGCATGAGTATATGTGGGACAAACGCCAACAAACCTTACGTTACTCGATGCAGTTATAATATGTATATATAATAACTGTATTTAGGCCATTTGGGTATATATGCATCGGTGGTTATGTGATGTTAGAAGCTATGTATGGACAGTTAGAAGTTTGGAAACTGATTATGTCATCGTGATACAAACTGGGTACTGAGAAGATAATAGGGTTTATAATTCAGAAGTAGTAGGTTTGTTTGTTGTATAACGCCACACTAAGCAAATACGGCGGACTTCAAATAATCGACTCTGGACCAGACAATCGAGTTACCAGCATCATAAGCATCATTTTTTGAAGCGATGAAATAGTCAGCGAGTCTCAGTCTGCACACAAGCCCGCCTCTTACGGCAAGCATGGGCTGCTGAAGACCTATTCTAACCCGGTCCAGCAGTAGGTAAAAGTAAAGTCCCTTTCCACAACCACAATGGTAATACGGGTGTTCGTAAAAGATGAGCGTTTCCTGCCTTACCTGTAACACTTATCTTAAACACACGCAGAACCTAGACAACTGCTCATATGAAAAAGCACAAAGCATATTGAATTAGTCAAAATATGAAACTATACAGAATCTTTTGTTGACTGATGTGTCAAATCTGGAAATGTCCTACACACGTCTACCACGATTTCTGAAATCTTTACTGAGACATTGGATGTTCTAGTCATGATAAAACAACTTCTCAGCAAATCTCTGGTAAATCTTTTAATAAATGGTACATGTCAAATTTACCCGTTAAGAGCTCCTGTCAGCATTCAGGTCCCTAGCAGTCTGAGCCTGACATACGAAGGCCACAAAATGGATCGGTGGTCAAAGTGGTCATGCTTTTGGTCGTTTGTACGTGATCGCATCCAAAATGTGTGGATCGAGATGTTTAAAATTTAAACACAATGTTTTCTAGTCCAGACACCATTATTTACATTATCAAAATATCGATATATCGATGAATGCGGCGTTAAAGAAACCCAACTGATGTCCGGTTTTATACACCCAACAATATGCACCCATTATTATATCGTTCTAAAGACATAAACCATATTATACTACAGTACAACCAGAAATTATTGAGAATTTAAAGATTGTAATTTTTTATATTTTTTTTCACTCATTACTCACGTATTAAATGTGAATATTAGCAGAACATAACTCCAGATTCAAAGACAGGTCAACAGTTAGTATTTTGTCAAGTCACCATGGGCAGCAATGCAGGCTTCAATGCGGCGGGGCATACTACTGATCAAAGAAGTTAGAAAGTCGTGGTCCATGCTGTCCCAATATAGGACCACCTCTTCTTTCATTTCAGCAATATTTGTCAGATTTTTCTTATTGACACTTTCCTTCATAAGTCCCCAAACATTTTCTATTGGATTTAGGTCAGAGCTATAGCTTGGCCAATCTAATAATGTCATATTTTGGGTCCGAAACCAGGCCTGTGAATGCTTTGAACGATGTTTTGGGTCGTTGTCCTGCTGGAAAATCCAAACATTTCCAAAGAACACGTGAGCAGATGGAAGTAAATGTCCCTCGTGAATATCTGTGTACCGCTCACTGTTCATATTCCCTTCAAATACACAGAGGGGGCGTTGCCCCTAACACAGATATGCCACCACACACCTTAACTTTCGGACTGTACTTTGGGCGCTGATACAAAGGTTTTTCAGTTTGTTTGGTCCAGAATTTCAGTGTGTTAAGAAACAGCCACACAGAACTTTCATCTGAGAAAATCACATTGTCCCAGTTAAAATTTCTATGCTGTAAGCACCAGTTCAACCTTCGCTCCTTTTTGTTCAGGTTTTCATGATCGGTGATGGAATTCCTCGGCTTTTCTGCCAACCCATTGCATGCAGCTCAGTTCTAATTGTCTCCTTACAGACAGCCACAGTTCCTCTATCAATCATATCCAGCCTTAAGTTTTCTAAACTCCTTCGTTTACTTTTAGAAACAATAATACCAAGCCGCCTCCTGTCACCGGCAGTCACTTTTCTGGGGCCTACCCGCGCCTCCCTGGTGCTCAATGCCATATCCATTTGCAATATTTCTCAAAAAGCACGATAAACAGTGGACAAGGGGATGCCTGTTCTACTTGAAATCACTTTAGCTGATCTGATGTACTTGTTATAATACTCTAAAATCAACTTCCTCTTCTCTAAATCATCCATACTGAGGACCACTGAAAATGTCGTCTGCTAGCAAGTAAACAAAGGGGATAACTCTTCACAAGCTAATGAAAAGGATCAACGGAGTTGTCTCTCTTGAATGAAACCAAGTACTTGATAGCTGGTCAAGGTTGTTTATACTAGAAATCCAATTAAACATATTCCTAAAATTCTGAATAATTTCTGGTCATACTATATTTAACGTATCTTCATTAAGAGGACGTGTGCTTAATTTCAAATTTCCCTATTTTCTTTTACAGCTTTTCCATGCGATAACCTGTCTGTCCCCGAATTTGGTTACGTGGCCTGTAACGGTTGGCGACCAGACTTTGGACAATATTGTTTGATTGGCTGCCTGGCGAACCGAACCCTACCACGTGACATTGATGGCAGCCAATGGTATGCATGTGGAGCAGGCGGAACCTGGTCTTCAAACCCAGGAATGATCCAATGTGAAGGTAACGCATTTTATATTTTGAAGAAATATAATTATTAATGAGTTTGGATATATATTTCATTTGTATTTGAACAGTGGTGAAGCACGTTCATTGTAACGAAATGTTGCACCAAGATGTGTGGTAGCTTTGTTTACTGAGAGTTCGCTAGTCACCCAGTGCTATTCTCTACGTCACTACACTTTGAGAAACAGCTTGTTTGTTCGCGCTGTGATATTCTAATACTGTATGATATTGCTAAAAGAGCCATAAAGCAGTGTATGAAATAAACCAAAATCCCAGCCAGACATCAGGGCTGGTGACTTCAAACTGTTACCAGCCCAAAATGGATTTAACCCGACCAAATATGGTGATTTTACTCAGACATATGGAACATCTACAATTTTACCTGACCAGACAATCCCGTGATCAACATCATGAGCATCGATCTGCGCAATTGGGAACCGATGACATGTGTCAACCATGTCAGCGAGCCTGACCACCCGATCCCGTTAGTCGCCTCTTACGATAAGCATGGGTTGCTGTAGATCAATATTCTAACCCGGACCTTCACGGGTATGAGGTACATTCCAACGGGGTTGTATCTCTATCATGATGTTGGTATGTGGCTATAAATATTATGATGTATATCGATATCTGTGAACGTGAACTATTTTTGTAATTGGAATGGATATATTGTAAAAACATCAATGTATGAATTTATACGCAGATAAGGCTGACCTCATCGGTGCGTCTGGTGGCATCCCTCGGCAGTCCGGATTCTTGTGATGACGTCAGTGCCGTAAAGAACAGTATATCTCATCACTGAAGAATTCGGATTTTAACACTGCATGTCTGAAACACACCGATCTGTGTGTACCTGCTAATGTCAACATTCGATGTTGATAGAAAACGGACTCTCTAACATTGTTATTATAATCAGGATAGCTCTGGCTTCTTGCCCAAACGTGGTAGGCGCAGTAAAGTTCAGTTGCACTGTCAGATATAGATTTCGTGGAAAAGCTAAAGTGAGTCATGATATCCTTTGGCATATAATTTAAAGACCTCAATGGCGCGTGAAGAATAATGATGAGATAATGGACTTGCTCTCCATAATAGGGACCGTTCGCAACTGATAGGTAGGGCGTGTGTGTACAAAATTGCTGACCCCTAG